TAAAGGATTTTTGAGATGAGGAAATATATTTTTAATTTTATCATTAAAATTACTTTTCACATGGACTATTTAAAACAAATACTCAATATATTCATGCACAAATCTTTATTTTATTTTATCAAAAATATTTCACTAAGAAATATGACTTTTTGTATATGAAAGACTTGTAATATAAACTGAAAGACTGCCAAATTTCATGAAGATGTACCTACTATATTGAGAGTTATAAGTATTAAATTTATAATGACTTTAAATGAGTACAAAAGGTCATGTGACTCAGTCAAATTGACCGACCCCGTGTTGAGAGGATTAATGTTAAGAACAAAATGTTGACATGTATTGAATAAAGTATTAAATTTATTTTGTTACTTGTATCTTACTTTTGAAATATAAGCAAGATTGTTATTTTTTATTTCATGTCAGAGAAAAGTTACCACCTCGTCCACCTGGACAAAGATCAGAACCAGAGAGTAATCCAGGGGTAAGTTAATTAATATAAGCAAGAAATATTTAGGTTTGACTCTGCACCAGCTACAAATAAATTGTTTAATGCAAAGTTATGTAGTTATGGGTTAAGTACATAAGCCACCAACTCAAGGAGGTTTATGTTTGGAATAAAGAAATTCACTAAGAGACTGTTTAATACAAACACAAAATAATCTTAATACAAGATATTCATATGCTCATCTACATCAAAGTTCCCAAAATTATCTTGGAAACTGTTTTATGTCCAAATTATTACACTCTTTGTTCTGAATGGCAATATGTTCATTAATTTGATGTTCTATTATAATCATCAACATTGAAACTACAATGATAAAATTATCAAAAGTTATCTCGATATATTCTTTCAGACATGATTTCACTTATGCAATTGCAATAATAATTCTTCTAATATGTTCAGTAATAACCCTATTACATCTTCTGTTAACTTAGTTGAATATGCAGCAGAGTTAATGTTTAATACTCTTCTTTCCTCTGACATTATACAATATCATTACAAATGTTGTTAGACTAGATAAGAGAAAGCATTAACTACTTACAAGGAGTTTGTATGGCAAATATCTGCAAAACTCTGTAGTGTGGCCATTCTGGATCCGGAAGTGCAGCAAATATTCTGGGCAATTCTGAATCAGTTGGAGAGCTACAGGATAGCTTGACAAGCCAGGAACTGGCAAGGAACTACAATCATGGCATTTTATATTATTTAATTAGTATACTTACTTCTTATCAAGAAGTTCAGCATGCTCAATGCTGCATGTAAATCTTTTAATCTGATTGATACTTTTGGAACCTTTTATAAAACCAAAACCATGACTAAATAGGTAATTGGTTTGTACAGAACTATTTCTGGGCAATTAGCTGTCAATATGGGTGTAAGTATTCAAACTCGCTAACTTGGAATATATGGACAAAACTGATTAATTTTGGTCTTTTTACACACAATCTTCCACTTGTTGCTTTCTCTCAAAGTTCTGTTCAGTGCTAATAAACAGAACCAATAGCTCGTACTTCTCATTTTACACTCTGGAATATGTTTCTAGCTAACTAACTTGTATAATGTATTTCAAGTTCATCTTGTCCTTATTTGGTAACTTTGCTCACTTGTTGGCATCAAACATTTTTATAGCAGCCTGATTTGGTTAATGGAAATACAGTAAGAAATCTCTCTCTCTGTTTATAATGCTCCCTTTGTTGGTAATGTTCATATTGACTCATTGGTTTGTCTCAAGTGGAAGTCTCTAGTTCAAATCCCAGTCAAGTGGGGATTTTGTATAACTTTTTAATTATTAACTTCTCATGCTTAAAGCAAGATATTAAAATATTAGGAAAAACCACAATAACATGATAGGTTAGGAATTTGAATTATTTGTTAACATTTGATAACAAAGACTGGGTGTCATGGTGGTTATAGTGGTCGACTATCATTTGTAAGTCTTGTGTTCAAATCCTAGTTAAGTCAGGATTTTATGTTAATTTGTTTTATTATTATATATCTTTTCTTTTTATTATTATTTATTGTATACATCAAGCTCTGAATGTTTGGAAAAATACAAATACAGTTATAGATGAAATCAGGGATAATTTCATATTATGTAATAAACACCAGTGATGGTATGTGCTAAAAACAACTTAAATATATTTTCAACCCAATATATGATGTTACAATACATTACATTATTTTTGGAGTTTTTCACCTTAGGTTAGAATTTTTTTTTTTTTTAAATTTGTATGTATTTTTTATGAAAAGTTCTACCTTCTTGCATTTGCCTTCATGCAAATGACCAAATGTACACAAAAATGCTGTTTTCATGAAATACTTTATACATTTATTGTTACTATAATTAATTTTTTAGAAAACATGTTCATAAAATATTTATTTCCATTAAATTTTCAGAATTAAAATTAATCAGCATTTACCATCATATGATGGGCAATCAGATAACATATTATAAACTTCAAATATGATGTTATATCTCAACAATAACCTTGAATTAATGACTTCTGGTTTATGCCAAGAAATAGACCTAATTTCCCCACTTCCAACTTATTTCACCACCATAAAATTAATTTGCTTAAATTTTTGTATGCAAAATAACTGTATCTTGATGTGATTATGGTTTATCATCATATGCATAGGCTAGTCATCATCTATCATGTGGTACTATCTCAATCTGGCTTTTATATATATAATGTATTACCTAAAATAGTTTTTTCTTAGCATTAGTCTATTCACATCATGCCTTCTTTATATTTGTGTGAAAGGATATTCTTTTTAGCATTTGTTCTTGTTTCTCAAATTATTTGAGGATATTAATTCAGAATTTTATGTTACTACTAAACATGAAGATTTTAATTCTCCTTTTAAGTATTTACCAAAACATGGTAGCTTTTCAAGCTTCTGAGATTTCTATTCTGCTAACATGTTTGTTGATGAGTCTACTTGCTTGTATTGAAATTACTAAAAAAATAATGTACCTGCACAGGAGCAGAATTGCATGGTTTTCACTGCTTGTAATAACTGTCATAAACTTTTGTATGGTAACTTGTTTTTCCTTTATGTATTTGGGAACTTTTGTACCCTGGTTCATTAACACTAAACTGTAAAGTTTTAATATTGCCTAATCACTATTTGTGCTTGCTTAGTCTAGTGAATTTGTCTCATTCTCAATACATGTGGGTTCAAACTTTCAATCCCTCTGCACTGCTTTTAAGGTAGTTGCTTAGTCAGAGGGACATGAATTAGCACTTCACCTCATCAGATTCCACTGGGGGATTTATTTTTTCACCATTTCATGAACTTCTGTTCTTCATTGTATTTTCTATGTCAATCAGCCAAGATGTCTGCAATAACTATCCACGTGGTGGCCACTTTTATGTATTGAGTACTCACCAATCTCTGCCGGAGTGGGTGGGAGGTATTTGAGGGTCCATAAATCATATGTGTCATAGTGCTGGCAGTGGAAACTGAGTACATCAGTAGTAGTCACTGAATGCATCCCTGTCTTACTGGCTTATCTCACACTGGCTACTGTGATAACAGCATGATTTGTCCTGACATCTGCATTTTGGGATAAATAAATATTGCCTATATATGATTCTGTTTGCCTTAATACTGACAGTGCTACAATTATCCTTTTCCAGGAGAATGACAGGCACTTCTCTTTGGTCAACTTCCTCTTTCAGTCTGGATATTCTAGCTAAATGCTATTGTACAATTGCAGTATCATATTTGAAGTCAAATGAAATTCAAATATACTCTTCCCTCTACTATAAGTGACCATGCCCTTCTCCCCACAACAGTTAGATAAAATGTGATTATTAAAGGTTATAAGTCATCAAGATAAAGGTTAATGTAGAGGTAGTACCACGTGATATATGATTATTGACATATGAGTATGATTATAGGGCCCATAATCATGTGAAAATGTGTATTTATTCTATATATATATAATATAATTATATAACAAAATTATGCATAGGGAGTGAAATTAATTCACAGTGGAGGAATTGAGTTTATTTCTTGTCTTGGACCCAGAAGTTGTTAACACAAGGTAACAGTAGAAGTAAATATTTCTTTGAATATCATTTTTACTTCTAAAATATTAATTTTAAATTTGCAATTCTAATGTAATCAATAGTTGGAATACAGGGTACAGAACTAAACTTCTTAAATTAAATATAATTGCTTAAATATATTGTGATATAGATGAAAAATATAATGTTTCACTTGAGGCTTAACAAAGCCAAAAGCACAAATTTTGTCTTGTATACCTTAAGCTAAATTCAAAAGGATTTTGCAGTTCCTTAAATAACATTTAAAATCTTATTTATTTACCACAACAATTTTGTTGGAGCTGTAGTTGGCAAAACATGTTTTCTTTTCAATCAAAATAAATACAGATTCTACTGATTTTGTTATGAAAACCTTACCTTGCACCTTATTTTCCTGATAAAAAAAGCTTTGGATTAATTTTGACAAATTTCTTACTTTTGTAATATTACAAGTCAATCTTCTAAAGTACTTATTCAAGAGGTGGCCCAACATGGCCAGGTGGATAAGGCGCTCGACTCGCAATCTGAAGGTTGCTGGTTCGAATCCTTGTCCCACCAAACATGATCGCCCTTTCAGCCATGGGGCCATTACAATGTGATGGTCAATCCCACTATTCGTTGTTAATAGAGTAGCCCAAGAGTTGGCGGTGGGTGGTGATGACTAGCTGCCTTCCCTCTAGTCTTACACTGCTAAATTAGGGATGGCTAGTGCAGATAGCCCTTGTGTAGCTTTGTGCGAAATTCAAAAACAAACAAACAAACAAACTTATTCAAGAAAACTACATTACTCATAAAAATGATAAACCCTTTATCAACAAACTTTCAGGATTTACACTTTATATATTCATAAACTGTTGTCATCATCAGTAATTGGTCATGCTGTTTTTGACTTCTCCCTTGTGAGATATTTATTGAAGCATTTATTTGTTTTTTTTTGCATTGCTTGTTTTGTAATTGATGATGGCAGGTTAACCTGCTGTTTAAGTTATCTATCACATCTGTTTTAACTCTACACTGTCTCAGTGCTTTTGACCAACCTTGTAACCACCATCTAACCATGAATTTATACATACTATAACTCCGAATATACTAAGTATCTTCACAAAATTTGATAATCTTTTGTTAAACATTACAAGTCTATTATACACAAAAAATATATTTTTTTATATATTTTCACTAAAGATTTGCTTATGAGTTTCCAAAGTCTATTGATTTGGTCTGAGTGAAGTATAATTTTTCATGCTACGAATAAAAGTAATTCATTTTACAATTTTCAGTTTTCATTTGTATAACCTATAGAAACTCCTAAATGAATATAAAAAGTTAGTTTTTGATAAAACTTTATATTTTATCTATAATTTTCTGTACCCTAACACTAACTGTACTGAAATCATGAGATGAAAAATATGAAATGAAATCAATAAA